TGCAGGATTTTTAGCTGCTGACAGCAAAGGAAGTAGCTTTTCTGCTCAGCATGACTGGCCAAGTTAGTAAAGGGTGGATTCAACAGCTACTTCAAATTCACACAGGAAGCCTATACACTGCCAGGAATGGAATCTAGTTTTCTTGGCTCCCAGTCACATGCCTTTGAAAGAATAAAAGGATACAAAAATCTTTTCCTTTGTTGTTCACCTTTGAGATTTTGCTACCTCAAAGACTACACAAAAATATATTGCACTACCCCAAAAAGTGTCTGTCAACTTCATTTCTCGAGGGGCAAGGGGAATAAGAAAAGGCTGAGAACACTTAAGATTAATAAAAACAACATTAAAAAAAAAGAAAACAAAGGCACAAAAACCTGCCAGGTTTTAGAAATAATACACAACTTTTAAGGAGCACTTAACTTATTCATTAAAGTCTTAATCCTTTTCCAGTGATGTAAATGCTTCCAGCAGCAACACATTGAACTACTGTCACAGTAACCCAGCAACTTCTAACAGTTTCAACTATCAACCACAAGGTACATTTCAAGCACTCCACACCTTCTATAGCTGTGGCATCCCACATCTGTGCACAGCTACCAGCAAAAATGCCCACACGAGACCCTGGGCTGCAGCAAAAGACGTGCCCAGCAGGTCAAGGGAGGTGATTCTCCCCCTCTACTCTGCCCTTCTGAGAGCCCACCTGGAGTATCATGTCCAGGTCTGAGGTCCTCAGCACAAGAAAGATATGGACCTGTTAGAGTGGGTCCGGAGGTGGCCACAAATATGATCAGAGGATTGGTGCACCTCTCTCCTATGAAGAAAGGCATGGGATTGTCCAGCATGGAGAGGAGAAGGCTTCGGAGAGACCTCATTGCAGCCTTCCAGTAGCTAAAGGGGGTTTATTAAAAGGAGGGAGAGGGGCTCTTTATACAAGCAGATAGTGTCAGGAAAAGGGGCAATGGTTTTAAACTGAAAGAGGGCAGGTTTAGAGATGTTAGGAAGAAATTCTTTACTCAAACGGTAGTGAAGCACAGGAACAAATTGTCCAGAGAAGTTGTGGGTGCCCCATTCCTGCAAGTGTTCAGGGCCAGGTTGGATAGGACCCTGAGCAACCTGATCTAGTGAAAGGCACCCCCACCCACGGCAGGGGAGGGTTGGAACTAGATGATCTTTAAGGTCCCTTCCAACCCAAACCATTCTATGATTCTAATCTGGAATCCAGCAACCTAGAGCAGGGCTGTGGGAACACCACTGCCTTAAGTGCTATATTTATTTCTGAAACTCACACACAATCGAAAAAATGTTAAATGCATGCACCAATAAGGTCTTTGCTTGTTTACAGCTTGCTTAGAACTCAGAAGCTCCTTTGGTCTGATAAAGTGTCTAGAGATTCTCTTCCACTGTGCAAAAAAATTAAATTTGGTTATCATTACTTTTTCAGTTAGGACTTACAAAAAACATGCTCTCAGACACAGCAATGAGGCCTCAAGCAAAGCCTAGATCAAACTCAGCATTCCTGGTATTTCAGAGCTGATGTTTTTAGGCTGCAGACTTTCAAGGTCTTTTTATACCTCAGACAGCAACAGAAAGAATATAAACTTAATCTTTGTGGAAATCTGTCAGAAGTAGCATTTCAATCTCATCACCCTTACATAATTAGATATTAAAGTACTGCAGCACAGAGGAGTCTGGCATAAAACTTATCTGAATTCATTCAAGATAATCCTGGGAAGATCATGGAACAGGTCCTCCTAGAAGCTATGCTGAGGCACATGGAAGACAAGGAGGTGATTCAGGACAGACAGCATGGCTTTACCAAGGGCAAGTCCTGCCTGACCAACTTAGTGGCCTTCTATGATGGAGTGACTACATCAGTGCACAAGGGAAGGGCTACAGATGTCATCTGTCTGGACTTCTGTAAGGCCTGTGACAGTCCCACACAACATCCTTCTCTCTAAATTGGAAAGAGATGGATTTGATGAGTGGACTGTTAAATGGATAAGAAATTGGTTGGACAGTTGCATCCAGAAGGTAGCAGTCAACAGCTCAGAGTCCCGATGGGCATCAGTGAAAAGTGGTGTCCCTCAGGGGTCTGTACAGGGACCAGTGTTATTTAATATCTTCATTAATGACATAGACAAAGGGATTGAGTGCACCCTCAGCAAATTTGCAAATGTCACCAAGCTGAGTGGTGCTGTTGACACACCTGAGGGATGGGATGCCATCCAGAGGGGCCTGGACAAGCTTGAGAAGTGGGCCCATGAGAATCTCATGAGATTCAACAGGACCAAGTGCAAGGTTCTGCATCTGGGTCAGGACAATCCAGACTGGGGGATGAAGAGATCAAGAGCAGCCCTGCCAAGAAGGACTTGGTGGTGCTGGTGGATGAGAGGCTGGACATGAACCAGCAATGTGCACTTACAGCCCAGAAAGCCAATTGTATCCTGGGCTGCATCAAAAGCAGCCTGGGCAGCAAGGCAAGAGAGGTGATTCTGTCCCTCTGCTCTCATGAAACCCCACCTGAAGTGCTACATACAGCTCTGGGGTCCCCAGCACAGGAAGGACATTGACCTGTTGGAGTCCAGAGGAGACCACCAAGGTTACAGGGATGAAGCACCTCTTCTATGAGAAAAGGCTAAGAGAATTGGGATTGTTGAGCCTGCAAAAGAGAAGGCTTTGGGATGACCTAATTGTGGCCTTCCAGTACCTGAAGGGAGCCTACAAGAAAGATGGAAAGAGACTGTTTACAAGAGCATGTAGTGACAGAACAAGAGGGAATGGATCCAAACTGAGAGTAGGTTTAAATTAGATATTTGGAAGAAATTCTTTCCTGTGAGGGTGGTGAGGTACTGGAACAGGTTGCCCAGAGCAGCTGTGGATGCCCCATCCCTGGAAGTGTTCAAGGCCAGGTTGGATGGGGCTTTGCACAACCTGGTCTAGTGGAAAGTATAATGTAACCAGCTGGTTAGGATGTCTGCTAGGAAGAGAATATGCATCTTCATTTTTACAGAGAGCAGAACGATCTGTGAAGGATGCAGCTCTGACCAGCCTTGCTCAAGGCAGACCAAGCTGCACTACAACTGACAACAGTTTGTGGGCTAGGGCACAGACACATGCAAAGCAAGTGGATAAGAAAGCAAGAGCCTCAAACCTGTGCAATGAGCCAGCACAGTTCTGTACCATAAAAGGGGATGCAAGGACTAGTATGTCTTAAGACATTTGACAAATATTTAGTGGAACTAATAAAACTTACATGAGGCAGTCTTTAAGCATAAGTCTCCCATGAATGAAAATTCTGAAGGGCCTCCTTGTACTAAGTTTTCATGCAAGTATATTTGGTAACAATTTTTTTAGTGCCCCCTCCACTCCTGCTCCTTCCTCTTTTGTAGCCCTAATTCTTGGTATTATAAAATCCCTCCCCATCAAGGCTAAATATTTTATCACAAGCCAAACAGCATGACACCAGATGAAAAATAAAAGCAGAAGCAGCAAATGAACCCTCAGGAACAATGATCCTATTTTTTATGCAAACCCCATTATCTTGTCTTTAAGTGACTCAAACTATGGAAAAACATACTACAGAAAACAACCCTGATCTGGTGGAGAATAAACATGGCAGTCTAATCAGTCCTTGAAGCCCAGTAGTTTCTATTTCTCCTTTAGAGAACTGTAGCAATCATGGTTCTCAGTTCTGTTTTCCACCCACCCCCCTCTCCTCTGCCCACCATCCCCAGTGACACATGAACAGTCTTAAGACATTGAAACACCATTTATTGGAAAAGAAATTTTCTGCTTGAACAGAATAGACTTGTCTGCATCAGAGGAAGCTACCTGAAAATTTCTGCTGCACGGCCTTCTATTCTCCTTTGACACATACAGCAAAAACCCCACCCTTAACTGCTAAAAACTTAAAATAAACATAGAAAGAGAAAACAAGTTCGCCTAAGCATTGGTGCTTGGTGGGCCTTTCTTTAGTACCACATTGGTTTAGACCAATCTTACCATTTCTTCCATACTCAAGGGAAAAAAACAATCCAAAGCCACACTGGTGTAGAGAGACTAGGCAGCATAACTGCTCATTATCAAAGCTCATCAGCAAATGAGACACACTACCCCCAAAACAATAAAAAATAACACAGAAAGGGAAGAGAGAATGGCAACTTCATTGTCTGAGTTTCCACACCTACACTTGACACTGCTCAGTGCTTCTTCCAATATATAAAAAGGGCTTTTAAAATTAGCTTCACCACTAGAAAGATGGTGCAAAACATTTAACTCCTCCAAGCACCACTCCCACAAGACCATATGAAAGGGACAGAATGAAGGTGACATCACTGATATGACCTCATCCTAATGACATAATAGAGACCCACCAAGTGTAGCAACAGCAATCAACAGGAAGCCATAACCCAAACAGAAAGACAAGGGCTTTCACACAGAGGAGGGCTAAACATGGCTCCTTTCTCCATCTCATTGACTCCTCAGGTCTTTGTAATCAGTGAGCACCATGAAAAGCTGTAGGAACAGTGTCAGCCCATACCTTGCTCTCCAAGGCAAATTAAAGCCCTTCACTCAAAAATCTTTGTAAAACATAATACTAAGTTCCTACAGTGAAAGTCAGCTTCTCACTAAAGACCACGAGCCAAGTGTCACTGAAGAGCAAAGCCTATGCCAACACTTACCTGTACATTGCCAGGCTATCCACTGCATTTTACAGCTCAAATGAACAAAAATGGAAGGTCTGAGCTAATCCAGTCCCTGCTCTCGCCTTCTCAAGCAGAGCTGGCCTGGTGCCAGCATCCTATACCCCATGGAGAAGCCGGGGTTTGGGAGGGAGAGGTCATCCCCAGGGGGCATAAAGTTACTACCGAGGCAAGGGGCTCCTGCAGCTGACCTCGAAGGGGCATGCCCCAGGGCCGTGCGGGGAGAGGTCTGCCACGAACCCCGGGGAAGGACAGCAGGCCCATGCCGCCCCACACCCCATCCAGTCCTCCACTCACCCTGGCGGCCCACGATCTCAGCCACATGGTCAGAGCTGGGCACGGGCACGCACTCGGTGGTGTTGATGCTCTTTCCACAGAGCAACGCCGTCTGCTCGCCGCTGAGGCCTACCGAACCGCCGCCACTCAGGCCACTGCCGTAAGCGTGGGACAGCATTGCCGCCATCATGCCCTCAGGATCGTGCGCCCCGGCCGCTACCTCCTGCTCATCGAGAGCAGGCAAGAGCAGGACGGATCCCAACGCCGGCAGAAGCGGGAGCGGCTGGGAGAGCGAGTAAGACGTGGAGAGCAGCAGCAGCGCAGCCGGGTGGTCCTCTTCGTCCTCTTCCTCCAGCTCCAGACCTCCCTCGCCCCTCGCCGCCGCCTCCCCCGCTCCGTCAAGCCTCGGCTCCCCGAGGGAGTCGGGCGGCGGCGCCAAGCCCGCCCGCTGCCGGGCCACCCCCATCACTCCGCTGCCTCCGGCGGGCAGGCCGTGGTCGCGGAAGCCGAGGCTGGAGATGTGCTGCTGGAGCAGAGGCAGCGGGGGGGGGAGGCGCGGCAGCTCGGCGGCACAGGAGGCCGCGGCGGCGCTGCTGCTCGGCATGGCGGGGGAGGCACAGCAGGCCGGGCAGGGCCTAGCGGCGCGGAGCCGCCATGCCGTGAGGAGCACGACCCAGGCCCCAGGGCCGTGCTCTCAGCACACCTTTTGCCCCATAACCCTCCCCACAGCAGGCCTACAGACAGCGCTGGAATAGGGGGATCAGAGGGGAGGAGGTGATCCCGCCCCGCGCTCGCCGAATCGCCATTGGGCGGCAAAGCCGGTTCCTGGGCGGCGCCAGGAATGGATGGGGACTGCGGGGTGTGGGGACGCCCCGCCCTCGACCCCGCCGCCTCAGCGCTTCGGTGAGCCCTGGGACGATGGGGTGCTGTGAATTAAGTTCCAGTGAGACGGGGTGAGCCCCAAAACAGACAAAAAAAAAAAACAACCCAAACGTCTCTGATGGACGTAGTGCCCTCTTTCCCCTCATACCTTGTGTGTTTCCCCGCTGAGGTAAAGGCTCTGTGATTTGACAGATACCATCCCCAAGAGAGCCCATCTCCCTTCTCTGTGCTAAAAGCAAAGGCAATTGGCTGTGGACATCTTAATACAACCATAATAAAGTGCTTGAAAGTGATCTCTCGCGGAGTTAGTTGCTTTATTAAACAGAACATCTTCAAGGGCAGCCCAATGTGTCAGGGACATTGGTATGAGCACTGCGGCTTGAACAATTTATAGCCCATACTACAAATTAGAATCCAATAAAGCTTTTATAAAGTCTGCTTTAGGAATATCAAGTTCTTTCTAACGTGCTCATATTTGAGGTGATCGACTTGTATAATGACTTTGCAGTCAATAAAAAAATATGTAATTCTCCAAACTTCTGTCCATACTGGTTGTAAAATAGTTACATGAATCTATTGTCTGAAGGAGTAGGCAGTATGGAAGGATTATGGGGTATATCAAATGTAGATGCAGGTGGAAGCCAGTTGATGTAGCTGAAATTCTGCCTTTTGGTTCACTTCAATTTGCTCTTTTGAATGGCAAAATGAGCTCACAGCTTCAGGGCCATCCCTGCTGTGGCAGCAACATGACTTCACACACAATAAATGCTCCCCATAAATCCTACATGGCGACTCCTACCAAGGCCAGGTTGGATGAGGCTTTGAGCAACCTGGTTTAGTGGAAGATGTCCCTGCCCCTGGCAGGAATCTTTACAATTCCTTCCAACCCAAACCATTCCATGATTCTAGGATTCTGGGGACTCTCTGGGGGACACATCCTGCTGCTCACTCATAAATGACCAGCTCATTTTTGAAACAGATTAGAAGTGTCTGGTTTCCAGCACTATCTTGTAAATTCCAGTCATTTCCAAGGCATTTATAACCCCCAGGAGGACCATATTTATAACATCTGCAGGTAAAGTGAAGTCCCAGTTTCCTTAGCATTCTCAAAAATGATGTCTCACCAAAAATTGCTGGGATTCATTTATTCAGCTAGACTGTCATACAGGGTCAGGGAAGTAAGTCCTGTACCTGGATCTATGTAACACCATCCCAAGCCCTGCCATGACACCAGAAGTTGACCTTCTCCAAGAAGAGAAGAGGGACCTACAAGGTCCACACACATCTGAATCTTTCAGCCCAGTCTTACTCTTTTTTTTTTTTCTGTTTTTGGTGGAACAAAGAGAAGATGCAGAGTGAGGTGTAAATATCAAAGCAAGAAGGATTATGTGCTTAACTGTAAACTGAGATGGAAGATTAAGTGTGAAAAAAGAATTACTTACTTGGTGGCTTCTTGGGACCTGCTCCTCACAGCTCACTTCACACCAGGGAAGCGATTTTAACCCTCTGTCTTCCACTATTGCTTCACTCACCCTCATCATGGCTGAAGGAATTTATTAAAGAACATCATTAAAAGCTGAACTACATTTTGATTGACCCAAGAGGGACTGTTCAGGCTTGTCACATTTTCTTTCATAAAACACTACTTCATAAAATCATAGAATGGTTTGGGTTGGAAGGGACCTTAAAGATCATCTAGTTCCAACCCCCGCCTTGGGCAGAAGTTATTTACTAGTATATATAACAAGGCAAACAAACAACAATAACTATGGTAGCAACAACAAACAGAACCACAAACCCAGTAACAGCCTTCTCGGCCGCAGGCCCTTTCCCCTTTGGTGTAGTGATGGTCACAGCCGGCAGGGGCGCTGGCAGGCTCTCGGTGGGCAGAGCAGGTGCGATAATTCCTCGTGGCTGCAGGGGGCGCTCCGGTACGAGCTCGGAGACCACGTGGTAATGGCGGACTGGACCGAGACGGGAAGGGATGGAAGAGAGGCTTGCTTTATAAACCCCCCAGGGGCAGCTGATCCCAGTGCCCCAGCAGGACTCTTGGGAGCAGCAAGCTGGGCCGGCAGGAATGAGCAACAATCCCAGGTGATAGACGAGATATATCAAACTCCACAGCTGTAGCGGGAACCACGGGATGTCTCGGCAGGCCAGGGTGCGGGGCTACAGTGTAGTGAAGACTCAGAGCAGTGGCAAAGAAGTGGCAGGGGCAGGGCAGCCCGGCTGCGAGCAGGGCGGGGGAAAGGTGGTCTCGGAATCCCGGGGTTTTCCCCCTAAGGCACACAAGCAGATGGTGAAAAGTCCCTCTTTTAGTGAGGTAAGGTCCCGGTGTGTGAAAAAACAAAGTTCACTTTCCTGTAAAGATTTAAAAAGTTTAATAAAGGACAATAGGAGACAAAGACAATAAAGCAAAGATTTAAGGCCAGGTGCCTCTTGGCATTCAGCCAAGTGCACACCGGCTCTTTTGGAAGAACCCTTTATATACCATTTGCTATTGCATCAGACTTTTACATATTCATAAACAATTATGCATATTAAACTTTTCCCCAAACTAGTTTACACATTCCAAGAACTGTTTAGCATGGCTCCTCCTTGGGTCCACCTTTTTAGAGCATGCATATTTCTTGGTTGTGGTTTTAGTCCATTATTAGCACTGCCAGTTATGGGCTTTGGTCCATATTTTCTACTGATGGTAAGTGTTGATAGTCATATCAGTAGCAGGGGTCTTCATCACATGTTCCTTGGATGATATCCCAACCAAGCAGGCATTTTAACACAAGCATATGTATATCAGCAACTGCCCAATTAACAGAAGATAACTGCTCCACAGATAGGAATAGAATGCACACACCTATTTCCAACCTAAGACAACATCCATTTTAATATTTGCAAAAAGCCAATATTATAATATATATCTATAATAACCCCCCCTTCTTTTTTATAAATAATTTGGCTTGAGCAAAAATTCTTGTTTTCTAACCTCCATTATTTGTTCATTTTTTTCACAAATCAATTTTGCATCTTCAAAGGGTCTTCGATATTATTTTTTTCTTTAACACCATGATCTTTTGTGCCATTCCAGATGTAGCCAATTTTGGGTCCATTGGCATTGTTACCACTTGCATGCCTTGTACTACGCTGGTGATTAGCCGAATAAAACAGGGGATCAAGCAAGGAAGAAATATCAAACCAGCTGTAGCACATAAAAGGAAGAAGCTAAATTTCTTCCACCATTCTATCCCCAGTACATTATCCCACCAGCTAGTTTTTAGCATTGGTTCACAATTTTGGACCGGTGCATGGGCTATTTTTCTGATATTCTTGGCTATATCCAAGATGGCATTTCCATAGTAATCTATTTTCAAACAATGTGATGCATTACATTTTCCACAAACACTCCCTTCTTCAGCTAATAAATAGTCTAAAGCCAACCTATTTTGATACACTGCAGCTCTTGTCTGGCTTTGTTGACTTGATATTAATTCCAATGCCCAACCAGTTCTGTTTGTTATTATCGTTGCAACTGCTTGGAGTCTTGTACTACGATTTAACACATAAATTGGGGTTTGATATCCCCAACTCCCATCTTGTGCCCAGGTGGCTGGCCCATATGTTTCCAATATGTGTTCAGGAGGGCATTCCTCATGTCCCCATTTTTTAAATCCTCCAATCAATTCCCTTTTATTTCTTTTTAGGTCCTCATAAATTGGTACTCCTAATTGATCACCATCTCCTCCTGGTAAAAGAAAAAATCCTGGCTGTATGATTCCCAGAGTACAACTCCCTTTCCACTGGGAGGGGAGTCTTGGGTATGCTCTTTTCCCACATATCCAAAATAAGCCATCTGGTGCTTTCCAATAATAATTTTTCTGTTGATTTATATTCTCCCAAAATTTGGGTATTTCTGGGATCCCAAAATAAGGATCCTTACCTGTATCATTACATTGGAAGAGCCTGATTTTGTTATTATGCTTGCAATTTTTTTTCTTTTGTTTTTCTCTGAGTCCAATGCAGTTGGTTCCTCTGGAATCCACCATGTAAAAGTTCCATTACTAACTTTATATCTCTTACAGGGAGTATTTCCTACTTAGTTAAAAAAAATTTTCCCGGTGCACTAGAGACATTCTTCTCCTATCACTGTTGAACTTAGAATCCACCCTTCTGGTTGGTTTCCCCCTCTTATATTTGTCCAATTCCATTTAAGGAGTTCAACCGAGCCTAAACTACTGCCTTTCCATGGCCATTCCTCTGTCATCAAAGCCCCTCCACAGACCCAACAGTTGGTTATGTTAAGTTCCTTACTTATTCTTTCCCCCAATTCCACAAACAGGTTTTTCCCAAATCTCGAGATCTCTATTTCCTTTTCTAATTGCTGTTTAAGTTTCATATACAAATCTTGATGTGGGGTTGATACAGAGTTAGATTGTTGCACTGGCTTTGCCTTTTTGTTTACTAATTGTTCTTTTACCAAATCTTGGACTCTACCCCTAAGGATAAATGTGAAACAAACCCATCTCTCCTCTTTTGGACATTCCCTTCCCAACCTATTACCACTTGTTCCTCAGTTTTCCACAATCTAGTATTTTTTCCCATTCTGCATACAGGTACCTAATTTGGATGGGTTATTGTCTTGGTTTACAAGATGGGAGTCTGCTAGGGAAGGCAGAAAACAAAACCTCCCTTGGAATGGAGAATGTACACCCCCTCCCTCCGAATTATTAGAATCGTGAAATCAAGGGGCTCTCAGGCAACAATATGGGAATAGGAATAACAGTTCTTTACTAGTGTGTATAATAAAGCAAACAAACAACAACAACTATGGCATTAACAACAAACAGAACCCAGAACCCAGTAA